ACAGAGTAAACCATCTGGGACTTTTATCTGCTGCAGTTGGCATGACTCAAAATAAAAAGAAACAACTGCAAATATTAACGAATAATCAGAATGTTGAATGTATGAGGTATAAATCTATGAAAATCGGAGGTTGCCAAAATGAAATGGATGGTGTGAAATGTAAATTAAAATCCCAGGCATTTGTGAACTGAAATGGATTGATATTGGCCACTTTGAATCAGACAAACATATGGTCTGTCTTTCCAGTAAGGAAATGGTATAAAATTCATTGTCATAAAGAATATTTCAAGATTCAACTTGTAGCATGATGTTTCACTGATAGGATAATGTTCATATGCCTCCAAGGAAGACTGGTTAATATGACTACTCAAATGTATGCACCAACTACAATACCAAAGATAAATAAATTAAAGTTTTTATAATTGTACTGCCTGAAATTCATCAAATATATAATTAGGATATATTGATAATTACTGATGAGTGGTACAAGAAAATTAGGGGAAAAAAAGAATAGGTCGCTAGAAAATATGGATTTGGTAGCATAAATAACTCTATAGAGGTTGAATGGTAGAATCTTTCAAGGTCAAGAACATATTTATTGCAAAACATTTAACAGTATAAATGGCAGTTATACAAATTGACTCCAGTTGCAATTTTGTAGGGTTCTGTGGGCAAAGTATTGAATGATTCAAGAAACACTAATAGAAGATAGAAAGAAATCATGGAGTCACTGTTCCAAAAAGAATTGGTGGATGTTCAACCATTTGAGGAGGTGGCATATGATTAAGAACCAGTGATATTGAAAGAAGAAGTCCAAATTGCACAGAAGGCACTTGGAAAACATCAAGGTTCCAGGATTTTAAGTTATATCAATTGAACTCTTTCAATAAACTGATGTAGCACTAAAGTTGCTCCCTTAACTGTGCCACGAATTTGGGAAGACAGTTACCTGGTCAACCATCTGGAAGAAATCCATATTTGCACCCATTCCAAAGAAAGGTGACTCAGCAGAATATGAAAATCACTGGACAGTATCTTTAATATCATATGTAAGTAAACTTTTGCTGAAGATGAAAAGGGTTGTTGCAATAGGACATCAGCTGGGAATTTCCCAAAAATAAAGCTGGAATCGGAAGAATATGTAGATCACGGGACATCACTGCTGTTCACATATGGATCTTGGTAAAAGCAGAGAATTCTAGGAAGATGTTTACCTGTGCTTCATTGACTATTGGAAGTAAATTATGGAAAATATAACTGACAATGGGAATTCTAGAGCACCTGTATGCACTCACGTGGAAACACAACACAGACTCAGAGGCAGTTATTTGAACAGAACAAGGGGATAGTGAATAGCTTAAAGTCAGAAGAGATGTACATCAGAGTTGTTGCCTTTCATCATATCCATTTAATTTGTGTGCTGAGCAAATAATCAGAAAGGCTGGATTATATGAAGAATGTGGCATCAGTATTGAAGGAAAGCTCATTAATAGCCTGGGATACACAGATGATACAACTATGCCCCCTGAAAGTGAAGAGGTCATGAACCTCTTACTGATGAAGATTAAAGACTACAGCCTTCAGTATAAATTACGATTCCCCATAAAGAAAACCAAAATTCTCACCACTGGACAAATCAGCAACATCATGAAAAATGAAGAAAAGATTGAGATTGTCTAGGATTTCATTTTACTTGGATCCACACAATCAACAGTCATGGAAGCAGAAGTTAAGAAACCAATTGACATATTGCATTGGCACTATATGCCGAAAAATACTTCTTTAAAGTGATAAAAAGCAAAAATATCATCACTTTGAGGACCAAGTTACACCCAACCCAAGCCAACCCATTGTACTTTCAACTGGATGAGAAAACTGGATTATAAATAAAGAAAACTGAAAAGGAATTGGTGTACTTTGAATTATTGTGTTGTCAAAGAAATTATATAATATGTAAAGTAATGTCAATAAAACTATTGAAAAATTAATCATGTCACACATGGTATTTTAAAAGCATATCACCTATATCATTGCCATTCTTTATTGGATAAAACCAGAATTTATTTAAGACCCTCAATAAAATGTGACCCTAATCCACTTATCTATTTCCATTTTCAGTACAACACAACAAAGTTGATAGGAGTTGTACAAACCCCTAATAAAATGATTTAAAAAAAAGAAAAATATTTTTAATTGAATATTTTTAATATATATATTAAAATATATAAATATATATATTTAACTGAATATATGTACATACATACAGAGAGAGAGAGGTGGGGTGGGGAAACTGATTAGGATTACTTGTGTGATAGCTACATAATTTCATGTCAACTTGAAGATATATAAAAGCGTACAGGTGGGGTTTAGCCTGCCAACCAGGTCACAGTTTGATGGTGCCTCCTTCTGGGTGTGGCCTTCTCATAAGGAGGACTCTGGGAACCTTCCCTTGTCGCTCTGCCTTTACCTTCCTGCTGGTGAGCCACTCTGGGAGCTGTCAGAGTCCTGTGATGCTACCACTGCCATTGGATCCACATGTCTTTGCACCCACCGGCCTGTGATATTCCTGCATTCGACATGATTGCATGTGGCTGCGTGAGTCTGAAGAGGGACTTAGGGACTTTTATCAGACTTATGGACTTGAGTTGGACTGGGCTTGGATGTTTTCTTGATATATAATTACTTATTGATATAAAGTTCTTTCTTACACATGTATGACTGTTTCTGGATTTGCTTCTCTAGTCAACTGAACCTGACACATTGTTTGTTGCAAGCAGTGTGTTTATGCACAGATAGCTACACTCATTAGACAAACTTCTGTAAGAATATCTTCTTCCTTTAATTTAACGTGCACTACTATGATCCATGAAATATATACATCTCAAATGATATGTGGTCAGTAAATATTTATGATTAATTATAATTACCTGCTAGGAGCCCTGCTGGTGTAGTGGTTCTGAATTGGGATGTGACTCACAACGTCAGCAGTTCCAAACCACCAACCACTCTGTGGGAGAAAGATGGAGTTTTGTATTCCCTTAAAGAGTTACAGTCTCAGAAATCGACAGGGACAGTTCTGCTCTGTCCAATAAGGTCACTACGAGTCGGCATCGACTTGATGTCAACGAGTGAGTGATAATTCTCTGTAATTATTCCATTCTTTTTGTCGGCTGTAAGAGCTTTTCCATTCTAAAATATTATGACACAATAAGTGTAGAAGATAACCAGTCTGAGATGCTATGGGATTCTGCATTCACACTTTGTGTTGAGATGAACGCATCTAACTGCCTCAACTATCTTCAAAGCTCTTCCCAATAAAACCCTCTTTAGTCTAAGTCTAGTCTGCATTCTGTCGGTGTTATCAAGGGTGAGTCTTGGAAAGAAGAATTTCAAATGAATAAATCAATGGAATGTCTTGCTTTCAAGAGTGTGGGGTTGAATTTACTTTTCCTTGTGTACTGGTCTAAGTCCTGGTGGTAGAACGGGTTACTCATGTTCCTTTACAGAGTTGCAGACTCAGAAGCACAAGGCAGTCCTTCCGTGTGCCATAGGATTGCTTTGAGTCAGGATCACCTGGAGGGCATTCAGTTTTGGAGCTTTTTGGTCTCCTAGTCAATATAGTGTGTAAGAGACATGTATATGCTGTGGGATGGGCTCTAAAAATGCCCAGGAAAGTCTTTCATTGTCCAAGCAAAAAACTCATCCTTTATAAATGCAAACTTTGGGATGTCCCATTTTCTATTTCATGACTTTATCACTTATAAGAATTATAATTATAATTAAGTTGGTTTTATACTTTTTTTTGCCAATGAGGCAATTGAACAGTTGAAATAAAAATAATTCAATATTTTAAGACACTTCCTGAAAATGTATCATTCTGATACTTTATAACCATTAAAGACAACAGAATATATATGCCTAAACTGTTCACTGAAAAGTTTCTTTTGGTGAAAAAGACTTTTGAAAAAGAAAAATTTGGTAAATCTGTAAACTCAAAAAATATAGATTTAAAAAATAGTAAATATATCCATCGCTTTTGTTTTATAGTGAATTTAGCCATTGCTTTTGTTATTATTTTTGTGTGTATGCGTGTATGTAAGTTAAAATTGTATGGTGATTTAAATGAAGTACTCTGACCACCAAAATCAGGACAAACTCATTAAATAAAAGGGAGATATTACCCCAAAGTTGTATGCAATTTGCATTATTATCTGCAATTTTAAAAAGTCTAGAGGATTATCTGCAATTAAGAAAATAAAAAGAACCCCAATTTGTCAACTCAAATTACCCGTGGTTTTATTGTACATTCAAATTTCATTCTGTGCATCTTTAAGGAGTATAGTGCGCTTAGGAAAGAAACCCTCCAGAGGGTTGTGGGATTTGCGCGCGCGCGCGCACACACACACACACACACACACACACACACACACACACACGGTATAATGTGATTTATTTGCACAAAGCACTACAGCTTGTTGAGCTTTGACTTGGCGGTTATTTTTCAGGAATTCAATGTAAAAGAAGGACACAGGATAGGAATAGAACTTACCGTGAACCTCTGCCCTCCAGGAGGGACCCAGAGGCTCACTTTTCTGGGGGCAATTTGAGTATTTTGCGTGTCTTTAGCCCTAGCATCCTTCTCCCGTGTGGTTACTTGTGAAAAGCTGCGGTTGTGGACGCAGGCGGCATGCGTTTCCAGGGATGGTTTGAGCTGCCTGTGCCAGCGGCCGGAGCTGCATCCTGGGGAGTCTCCCCGGCGGTGGGACCACTTAGCTGCCGACCCGGCTGGCTGTCCACGCACGCTCCTCCTTCACGCTCTGCCTAGCTCCATCCCACTGGAGAACACAGCACAGTCGCCGCACTTGGACTTTTTCCGCTTTCCTTTTCCGCCTCCTACCCCTCCCTAGACCTCTCTGGGCTTTGACGTCATGTGTGCTCCTTTTGGTTGCTATAGCAACCCCAGTCCCCAAGCCCTCCGTCCGTCTCCTCTGGTAGGTTCCACAATGGTACAGGCAGCATCACGCTGCACAATGGTTTCCCGGCAGTGAAAGAGGGTGATTCAGCAAGGCGCTCGACTTCTTCCGCTAAAATCTCCCTTTCTCGTTTCCTTTTTATGGGAGTGGGTGGTGCTGGTTATTGGTTTACCTTTTACCTTTTCCTTTTGCGTTTTTCACAATTTCCCTTTTTTCCTCCTGGCCCCTCAATTTCTAGGGGGCTTTGAGTGACTTTTACGAAGGAATTTTCTCGGTAATTACCTATCCATTATTAATTTAAAGCAATATCCCCACCTCCAAAGAATTTCTTCCTTATTAGAGTTCGGAATGTGGTTAATGAAAGACAAGTAGGGAGGATTTTGGGGGCAAACACGGCCGGATCAGGATCGTAGTTCTCAGTCACGGAATGGTAGGTGGTTTTGCTCATTCTGGGTTGGACCTGTTTTTGGAGGGCGGGTGGGAGTGATGGCGATGTGATTGCTCCTGGTGGGGCAGGAGAGCGAGTGATGGGAGAAGGGAGAGAGATGGGGAGAAAAGCAGGTTAATGAAGAAAACTATCTCGAGACAAGAAGCCACCAGCCTTTGCCTTCGAGCGTGAATCGTTCTTTTTCCAGACTTGGGCGTGTTGCAACCTTGATGTTTGGAGTGAGGGGCGGCAAAGGGTGAGAGGGAGCATTCTTATTGTGGCCAGGGGTTTTAGACCAATGTAAAGCTACAGAAGCTGGGAGAGAAACAAGGGGAGAAGAAGGAGGTGGGTGGGGGGAGGGAAAGGGAGAGAGAGAGAGAAACAGCTGTGTTTGTTAGAAGTGCTGGCCTCAGTCCCATTTCTGAGAAATGATATGGGAAATGATATAGGAAATTAAAAACAATGCTTTTAAGTATGTATGTATGTTTATTTCTTGAGAGGTGTCATGTAAATAAACAGTATGGGATATGTTTACATCTTTTAGTAGAGAATGATATTTCCATATATTATAGCTGCCAATTGAATGGCATTACTCATGTCGAGAGACGCTAGGCTTAATTTGGGCTGAAGCAAGAACACAAGAGAACAGGAATCAGGTTAGAATGAAGAGAAACAAATGGGCACTGCAGTCCTGTAGGTGAGGGACCCTTTAAGAAAGTGAACCTCTAGTCACAGCAGGCACCGTTGTTTTTTTTTTAATGGCAAGGTTCCCAGCTATTCTATGCTGGGATACTGTGTCCCCTAGAAATGTCAGAGCTCCTTTTGCAAAAAGGAAACAGATATATTATATAAAGGGTGCATGTCAGTATGCTTATCAAATCTATTTGCATGTACCACAAAATAAATATAACTTGCTGGAAACATCTTCAAACAAATCCAGGTGATAGACATTTTAAAAAAATGTATATTTTTCTTTTTTTTTAAATGTGTTCCTACATTTAAATCAGAGAAGTGTCTCTGTTTTTGCCCTCTTAAAGAAAAGATACTTCTCAGGGTACTGCAGTTAAGGGGTAGCCGAAGATTGGCTTATCCCATGACAGTCTGCTCTGGAGCAATCACAAGGTTGTTTACATGGACTGCTTTTGCTGCAAAGCCTCACAGTGTCTTACAGCAGTCCTTCTGCTGTGTTGACAATAACTTTCATGGGAAACAAACAAGCAAACTGTAACGACGCAGGCTAAGTCATACGGGGCAGGTCACAGTTCAGATGAAAGGAACATAGGTCTAATTGTGCCCGACATTGGCAACCCAAGGTCCAATTTTTGTTTCCATTCCTTTTCTGCTGGTTGTGGGACCCTGGAAAGTCTCATAGAATGCTGATCAACACACTGAAAATGGTTGCAGGAACGACCCATCCTCTGAGAGATGCTTCTGCACATTTCCTACCTGAGATGAGCATCTGTGTAACTACAGATAGTAATGCCCACGAATGAGCCCACAGCTCCCAGGTCACTTTGGCGTCTTTGGGTTACAGGGGCGGCATAGTTTGGAGCTACAGCAGTCCTGCTGCCCCTGGTAAGAATCCCCCTTCTCTTCTTTGATCTTAGTCCTCAAATGAAGATCAAGTACTGGATTCACTTCTTGTATCCCTTGCAGCAAGCTCCTCTTTCTTTTTCTTACCATGGGACAGGGCACATCAGATGACAAAGGTGGTATGACCTTAGATATTAAAAGACCCTTGATGCTTCCTCATTTGCATAACCCTCCCTCCTCCTGTAGCAAAGTGTATCTTTAATTTTACTGGGCTCCTGTCCTTACAAAATCTTTGCAGTTGCTGTGAAAAGATTCCTGATGGGGAGGCAGTCAGAAATTAACACGTAGAGGGGGAAAATCAACTGCCTCCAGCTTCCTGCTTGCTGGCCCCAGAGCAGCGTCTGCTGCTGGGAGGAGTGTATTTGCCATGCTGGAAAGAGATGTTGATGAACAGATCCCAGAGGGACCGGATGTGTTTTTGCTGTCATTGTCTGGTATGTCTGCAGCTACTAGTGTTCAATGGTTGCACAGTACGTGGTCAATGTTTTTCAAGTTAGCATGAACTGCGAGTTGACCTAGGAAGCTAGAACGTGCATGTATGTTTTATATTGACAGAGGGATTCGTAGGGTTTTCCTTGCCAGTATTTCCTGTATGACAATGATAAACAAAATGAATCTGCTTAACCTAAAATAAATGGGAAAGGCCTACCATGTTTAGGGGCACAGATATATTTATTTTACTGTGGCTCCGTGTCAATGAATCTGTTCTTTTTTGGATGGAAGCTTAGTTACAAAGTCTTTTTCGACTGATGGTAAAAGATGAAAAGCCAAGAGATGTTTTTTGTTTGGTTTTGCTTGTTTGTTTGCTAAACGCACTGGCAGATGCTTTTCCTTCCTGCTCTCGTCCTGGTTTCAGATCACGTTTGTAGCTAAAGGACTTTCAGTGAAATTATTGCTGGGTTTGACTCAAAAGATTGCTTGGTTGCTTATCAGAATAAATGGGCTCAACCCAAGAGAGATGTCCTTCAATTGGACCAACAAGTAAACAAAATAACATTTAAAAGGCTTTCTCCACTGCCCCTTTTATAGCCTCTTTTAAGCTTTTGGTTGGAGATTGCAATCTTAATGTTAAAAAAAGGGGGGGGGGGTTTGCACACACAAGTATCCAGCAATGACAGGAATGGAGTACAATGCTGTTTGCTGCAAGCTAGCACATGCATATATTACACATGCATCTATTCCACCTTGTGCTGTGGTACCGAGAAAAAGTTCTGCCTTTAGACTCTTGGGATGGAAGAAAGGCTTATTGGGAGAGAAGCCCCTAATCCATTTTGTTTCTTTGGCATAGTAGATGCCTTTAGTGTATTACATAAGTCTGAGTTGAGACACAGTAGTGCTGATTCAGATAAAATATCAGGCTGCATATTGATTGTTTGAAAGAGAAAACGTAACTTAGAACCAGAGCCCAGGTTTTCAGAAATGTACCTCTTTGTACGTATTGTCATCACAGAGCCATCCAGGTTTTGAGTAAGGTTTTTCAGTTTGGTTAAATATTATTTTCTTGAGCAAATTGAGACCAATAAAGGGACAATGTTAAAATCTGTATATTTGGGGGACTATTTCAACCCCCTGTATTTCATGGAGGGAAGCTTTGTTTCTTAATATGAATCTTGGCAGAAACTCTGCTCTGAGCGGAATCCCCAAGTGATATGAAAGATCCTTCACCAGAAACATTTTAGGTTTGAAAAGGCGGCTCTGACTTATGCTTATTTGTCAAGGATTGTGTAGTTCAACTGATGTTGGGGATCCCTAACAAGTCACTCTGACCTTTCTTTCTGTTCTTGTCCAGGGTGCCTGTGAGATGTAAACTCAGAGGATTACCGAGATAGCGTCTTTAGGAATGGGAGTGAAAGGTTTGAATGGAAAACAGTGACTCATGGCTACGGAGAAGCACTCCTAACCACTGAGGCTCTAAAGCCCTGTGTGGTGTGCTGGATCTAAGGCACAGCTACCCTGCAGGACAGGCAGGCATTTGCGGAGTGGCCTGATCAGGGAGAAGCAATATTTTTTGCACTGTGTGTGTGTGTGTGTGTGTGTGTGTGTGTGGTGAGCAGCAGAAAGAAAACAGCAGTGAATGAAAAGTATTGGGTGTCATCTTGGTGGCTTGTCTTCATAGAAGTAAAACTGCCTCCTGGTTTATTGATGTGAACCTGCCCCAGTGTTCTGTGTGCTTCCTGAAAATGGGTTGCTTTAAGCAATCGTCGGCTTCTCTTAAATTGGAAATAGGACATGAAAGCATCCACAGTGAAGTAAAGCCCCTAGGTCAGTTTATTTGGCAATGTTTAATCAGGTCCGTACTTCCTCCACCACAGCACGTATCACACTTTATGATAATTGCCTCATCAGTTATCTCTATCTACCACTGGAATAACTTTGGGGAGGACACATGAGTAAGGTGCTTGGCTGATATGTGAAGGGTTGGAGGTTCAAATCCAACTAAAGGGTCCTTGGGAAAAAAAGGCCTAGAAATCTACTTCCAAAAATGCAGTCGTTGAAAACCCTGTGGGAGCAGCATTCTCAGAGTTGACTAGGTGGCAGCAGGTGCTGTTGTTGTTGTTCAATGTCATTGGGTTGGTTTCCACTCTCGGGAACCCTGTGCATAACAGAATGAAGCACTGCCCAGTCCTGTGCCATCCTCACAATTGTTCTTATGTTTGATGCCTATTGATGCAGTCACTGTGTCCATCCGTCTTTGTGAGGGCCTTCCTGTTTTTCACGGCCATCTTACTTTACTGGGGATTTCTACTGCTGTAAACAGTTATAATCTCAGCACTCACAGGGGCAGTTCTACTCTGTCCTATAGAGTCTCCATGAGTCGGCATCGAGTCAATGGCAGTGAGGTTTTTGTTGTTCTTGTTTTAATTTACCAAGCATGGTGTTCTTCTCCAGTGCCTGATCTCTCTTGAGAATATGACTAAGGTACGGGAGACAAAATCTCACCATCCTTGCCTCTAAGGAGCATTATGGCTGTACTTCTTCCAAGACAGATTTATTTGTTCTTTTGGTAGTCCATGGTTGCTTTCAATATTCTTCTCCAGCACCGCAATTCCAACACCGTGTACTGCTATCCACTGACGTGGAATCTCTGTCAGAGACTGATGGTGCCAGTCTGACATGTCATCTTCCTTCAGTGCCTTCAAGTCAATTCTGATGCTTGGCGACGTTATAGGGCAGATTACAATAGTCCTTTGGCTGCATCTTTACAGGAGAAAGCCTCATCTTTTTCCTGCAGAACGCTGGTCAAGGTTTGAACTGCTGACTTCGTGGTTAACAGCCCAAGGGGCTAATCCACTGTGCTGCCAGGTCTACTTGTAGTAAAGCACACCAAACCACGGAGTTAGTTTCAACTCAGTGACCCAGGTGTTTCAGAGCAGAATTGCACTCTGCGTGGTTTTCACAACTGTGACTCTTTGAAAGCAGTTCATCGGGACTTTCTTCTGAGATGCTCCAAGTTGGTTTGAACCATCAATCTTCCCAGTAGTCGCTCCATGCGTATCCATTTGCACCACCCAGGGATTCCCTCCAGCATGGAGTATTAAATAAATATTATTTAATAATATTATTAAATATTGAATGAGTAGCTCCCATGTATATATTTGTTGCAAAGTGGGATGGGAGAGTGAGACTTATAACCCTACAATTCTGCAATGGGGAACTTACCATCACTTGGGGAATTAAGATGCACAAAAGCTTCAATAACCATAAAGACAGTTTCTAATTAAGGAGTGATTTTGGTGTGTTGATATTAAGTGCACTAAAAAATCAGAAGATAAAGAAATCACCTCCACTGATCTGATGGTAGATGAGACTGAAGGCAATATAGGGATGAGAGTGGGGGAGGCAAAGGGGAAGGTATACCTAGCAGCAGTTATAAGCCCTTGCTCAGTAGCTAGACTATAATCTGCAGTAAAACCTAAACCAAACCCTCTGACATTGAGTTGATTTTGACTGACAACAACTCTATAGGACAGAATTGAATTTCTGATACCATGAATCTAGGTGGGAGCCTACAACCTCAACCTTCTCCTGAGGATCATCTGGTGGGCTTCAACCAACCTACTGAATCACCATGACCCCTTATTTGATGCAGAGTGGGGTTTTATTTGGGTATGGTAAATATACTTTCGAAGCCAGAAATCAGAATCATGGCTTTACAGTGGAAACAGGACATTGGAAACTGGCATACTGGTGTTAGGTGCCTTGGCGTCTGTTCTGACGCATAGCGACCTTATGTGCAGCAGATGGAAACACTGCCTGGCCGGTTCCTTCTTCACAATTGTTCTCATGTTTGAGCTCATTGTTGTATCCACTGTGGCAGTGCACCTTGTGGAGGGTGTTCATCTTTTTCACTCTCTACTTTGACAAGCGTGCGTGTCTTTCTCTAGGGACTGTTCTTTCCTAACACGTAGGCTCAAGCCTGGCCGTGCTTGCTTCTAAGGAAGTACTGGCTGTACCTCTTCCCAGACAGATTGGTTTGTTCTTCTGGCAGCCCATGGTACTGTCACTTTTTTTTTTTTTGCACCACAATTCAAATGCATCAATTTTTTTTCTTTAGATTTTCTTATTCATTGTCCAACTTTTACATTCATATGAGGTGATCCAAGTACCATGACTTGGATCATGTGCACTTCAGACCTCAACATGACATTCTTGCTCATCAGCATTTTAAAGAGGCCACCTGCAGCATAGTTCTAGAGGACAAGGTTGGCAAGCAGATTTGGAACTAGATCATGTTATGAAAGACAGTAAATACAGGGTCCTTTCTAGCTTCCTACCAGCTTCACTTTCGCTTCATTTCATAGGCTTGAGAGGTTTTCAAAAGTTTCCTCCTCAACTTCTTGTTCTAATGCAATTTTACATTAAAAGTAGAATATGTAAACATACATATGTAAACATATGGGACAGTGGAGCTTCCCCAGTTGAATTAAAGTAGGGATGCTTTACACCAGAAAACCAAATATATCAACCAATATAGCAATTACTAATTGGGTTTATGATCTGATTTTAAAATATTGAGTTGTTTGGTGTTGATAGCAGAACAGTTTATGTGCTTGTGATAAATTCTGAACAGAATTAACTACCTTGAGGATATTTTAACCTTTTCCCTTATTGCATCAATTTTGATTTAGTACTTTGCTTAATAAATGCAGGTGGACTTCTAGTTTAAAACTTATGACCAAACTCATGTGTCTTTGGACCTTGGTTTCAGGCTAGTGTGAGAGGCACCAACTGCAGGACCACCTTCAATTTTCGGTGTGGTAACTCATGCCAGGAGCTACTGAATTAGATCCATTTCCTATAGATGAGACACGATACAAGCAGTGGTGAGTGAAAATTTTCAATGTTTTTTAAATTTGGGGAACAAAGAATGTTTGATTTCTGTATCCAATTTAAGTACTTCATGTGATTTAAGTGTTTGGATCTGAAGAAACTTGTTTATAAAGAATATCAACCAAAGGAGTGGAAACCAGTAGGGCGGGATCTTGAATAGATATAGTGCTCCCATGACTGCATACAATAGTGTTAGGTCTTGAGATGCAAAGATGGAATGCAAAACACCAGGATGCCACTATCCTGGACGATTCTACTCTATGCTAGAGGTAGGATGGCTGTAATCAATAATTTCATATGACAGAGTAATAGGATTTTTAGTGGCTTTTATTACTTGCACCATACGTCTATATTTTATTGATTTACTCTTCTAATAGAATAATTGGTTCTGGGTAAACTTATGATGCCACTTCCTTCTAAAATAGTGTGTATGTTTTACAAAGCAGTTAAATCTTTGAAAATAAGGGAAGAGAAAGCACATCACACTCGTTGAAAACATGATTTATGGACAATTTAGCTTAGAAATCCTTTTACTTAAGAAAAACTTTATTCACAATGATCAACCTATAACTCCCTCCCAGGGGGATGAATAAAGGAAAAGTGGGTGAGGGGCGATGGAGGACAATGTAAGAGATGGAAAAACTTATCAAGAGTTTGTGAGGGAGGGTAGGCGGGGGAGGGAAGGGGAAGAAATGGGGAGCTGAAATCAGGAGCTCAAGTGGGAAGAGAATTTTTTTGAAAATGATGATGGCAGCATATGTGCAAATGTGCTTGACACATTGGAAGAATGTATGGATTGTGATAAGAGATGTAAGAGCCCCCCAAAAAAGTATTTTAGAAAATGAAAAACTTTATTAAAAATAGATTCAGTTGTCCTGCCTTGTGGGAAAATATTTGAAAACTTATTATCATGTACAAATATCAGCAAACTCAAGCAAAGTATCTTTTAAAATCTAATGCTGGATGCTTTATAGTCAATGATCAATAGATTCCAGCAGAGGTAAATGAGTGAAAATCTGTTAAATAACATCTTTGAGAAATAAGGTATGACAAGGATGCTTGTAAGTCCCCAAATGGAGCTGCTTTGAACTAGTGATCACTATCTCTCATTTACCTAGTGGTTTATGCAGCTCTGGGTAGGTTGGCTGCCTGTGAGTTAATACATAGCCTATAAATGGAGAACACTGCATTTTATGGAATCTGTATTAACTGCTAATTAATCCTATGGTTATTTCACCTCATAGGTTTTATTGCAGTCTACCTACCCTTATACCGACAAAGCAGTTCTCACAGTCATCCCAATGCCATGCTTAATCAAAATAGTCAATGAATATTTGTTATCAAGGGTGAATCATATGGAATTACCAATAGGCAACCATTTCTTACCTAAAATAATATTGGTTTTGTATGGCTGAAGCTAATACTCTGAGCTTCATGTCACATTATGCGATTAGGAAAATAAAATAGGTTGACTGTAATATAAATAATTTATTAAGTAAACCTTTTTTAAGAGCCCACAATGTAGCTATCATGTATACCTTTAGGGATAGATGAAAGGCACCCCCCCTGTCTAAAGGGAACTTTGGATCTACAAAGTGGGTGGTCTGTATAATAAAATGTACTATTAAATGGGGTCGATATATCCTAAACAGGGTAGTACTAATAAAGTGCGAAGAAGTGTGGAGACTAAGGGAAGCACGGCAGAGGAGACTCCACCCAGGTCGAGGTGGGGCTTTACCAAGGACAACTTCCTAGAGGAAGCAATATTTTAGGGGCCTGTGAAGAATAGTAAGAAGCTGGCCTGAAGAAAAGAGGACTCAGTACAGAGGGAATGGACTGAGCACATGATGTTTGGGGACTCTAGGTGCTATGGCAGCAGCAAACGGGGGCGTGGAAGGGATGAAATTGAACAGCAGACAAATCACGATGTTTTAGGTCAACGTAGTGTGTTTGGATTTTATTTATTTGTTAGAAGACTTCAGGGGATATTTTCCGTTGAGGGTGTAAAAGCTACCTGGGGTGATAGTTCCAGGGACAAGCCAGCTTCCAAGGCTCCGGAAAGTCTGGAGTCCATGAAAATCTGGAGTCTCATTCTGCATATTTTCCCTTTTCAAAAGTATGTATTCTCACCTGATTATTTCATTAAAAAAAATGTGTGTGAGGTTCTTCCATGTTGAAGCATGAATAGTCAATTTAGTTTATTCACTAAGGTTATATTATATTCTACTCTATTAGGATAGCAACCTTTACTTATCCAACCTTTTGTTGATTTGGGCTCTTTATATGATACTTCTTATGTTAACATAAATATTATTGCTGAGAGATTCTTATGTATATGTACGAAAACCTGTTTAGGATTCACGTTGAGGAAAGGAATTGCTGAGGTTTAGGTTTGTCCTCACAGGACTCCTGTTTTACTAATGATGCTGAAATAATTCTCTAATTGGTTGTCCCAACTTATATTGTCACCAAAAGAACCGAACTCACTGCCTCATAGGGAACCTGGTGTATCTCTGAGACTGACTTTTTAGAGGAGTAGAAAGTTCAGTCTCTTTCCTGTGGAGCTGCTGGTGATTGGAACTGCCAACCTTGCTGATCACAACCAATTCGTAATCAGTACGCCACCAGGGCTCCTAGTGGCATAGTGGTTATTCATTGGGCTGAAATTCGGGTGATGGGCAGTTCTAGACCCCCAGCAGGAGAAAGAAGGGACTTTCTACTCCCGTAAACAGTTACAGTCTTGGAAACTCACAGGGGCAGTTCTACCTTGACCTAAAGAGTCACTCTGAGTCCGCATGGACTTGATGGCCTTGACGATTTTTACGGTTCGGTCAACCAGGTGGCTGCATCGTTGTACTAACAGAAACATTCGCTTGCATGTCTCTGAGAATGATCATTTTAGTTATGAAGAATCATCATTTTAAAATTACCAGCCATTTGAGTTTCCTTCTTTTGTGAAATGCCTGCTCAAGTCTTTATGGAATTTGTCTCTCAAAATATTCTCTAGCATTTATCGAGTTCTTGGAGTACCTGATTGGTGAAAACAATTTCGTGCTTGAATCCCGAGGAGAGGTTGCTGGGGAGCCCACTCAGAGCCACCTTTGAACACAGGCCTGGGGATGTGCTTCTGAGAAGTTAGGAGGTGGGCGTCTATGGAGCAATTTGACTCTACACACGTGGAGTCAGCATGAATCAGAATCAATTGGGCTGCAATTAATGACAACAATTGAATTCTTAATATGCAACAGATACTATGCTACATTCTTTACAAGCATTTAATTCTCATGCGGCATCTATAATTTACAGATATGAACCGAGGTTAGGGCATTTGCTAGTTGCTGACAATCACATAGCTAAGAAGTTGTGGAATTAGCGTTCAAGTCCAGGTTTTTCTGACCCCTGGCTTCTTCCCGTTCTTGAAGAGTGTTTGGAAGGGGATTAGTTTGGAGCCAGAGAGAACACTAAAATTGCAGTGATCCAGTTAAAAATAATAAGTGTGTTAACCGAGTAATTGCCAGTAGGGCACACATACATAGCAACTGGCTTTGGGAGTGGATGTGGTGGTTAACTGAAGAGGGAACATTTGAAAAGTCTCAAGTTTTACTAGCTGTTGACTTGGTTGCATTCAGAACTTGTCATGTGATACACACATTTCAGGCATTGTGGTGGGTGCTGAGAATATATTTTGAGACTCAATAATTCAATAAGAGATTAAATTAGTTCATAGATCCATACATTTAAGGTTTAAAAAGATTACAGTGTTCATTTGAGTCAACTCTTCATTGTTCTAAAATACAGAATCTGATGCTAACACTGCGAGCACACATCCGAGATCGTAAGTTACTAAGGTCTAGAGTGAGGATCGATCCGGCAAAAGAAAGGAAAAAGGAAGGAAAGAAGTAAGCAACTTCTCTGCAATTTAGAGAATCCAATCGAGGACTTCTAATAAGTAAACATTTCACAAATTAGTCTCCTTTGAGCTTAGTCTGTAGTCGGAATTATAATGGAGCCTTTGATCATCACCGTTAGCAGGATTGTTTAATGGAGCCTCACATGGCCTGTTCTTGCCCCTGGTTTTACCAGTGAAGCCACCACATTTTCAAAACCTGATCTGTAGTTTTTATTATGTTTACTGATGTGCTTCAAGGTTCATTGTTATGCTCTGTCACCGATAACATAAATTCCCTTCTCCTTAAATTATACCACGCATCCATTCGCCCTAATTTAGACACCGATGACCTCTTTAATTGCTTCAGTTTCTTCACACTCATTCAAGTGTTTGCCACTTTAATTTACTTTATATTATTTATTCTGCCTGTAATTCACTCTATCTACCTGTATTAGTCTAGTTACTTTGGAGAAAAAAATCCACGGCGACTCACGTATAAGAGAGAGTTTTATGTAAAGAAAGTGTGCATCACGAAAACATCCCA